CACCGTTTCTCATCAGCTCAAAGAAACATTGAGCCATTGAGTAAAATAACTTGTCCAACTAGTCCGGTACGCAATAATCCAGCATCGTGATCATGCGCAAGAGTATGAGAACTTGCCGGATGTCTCAGCGCTAGCACATCGGCTGCCTCGGATCACTTCGAGAAGCCTGAGGGTAGAATAAGCTCGGCAAATGGGTGCCACACGAAGTCAGTGGGGAGAAGCGGTTTCGCCGGCACTTGTTCTTGTTCGCCGTCGTCGCTCCTCCTGCGCCACCAGAATGACCCTTTTGTGGAGTGCGATGACAAGTGGAGTGACTACGACTACCAACTACGATAGTCAGTAGTTGAACCGCAGAATAGCTGCCCAGTCCATATTCGAACCGAGGTTTCACTAAGAGAAGGTAACGCGCACTTTTGGCTGAGCTGTGGCGGAACTTATTCCCCACTTCTCCCGGAATCCGCCACACGAGCGAAGTACCAAGTGTACACCGAAAAACGCTTCCACCATGCACTGATCAGCCCGGTTAAATGCCGCAGAACGGGTGCTGCAGAACTCGAAAGAGCTAGGCTATAGGACCCCTCCTGAACCAGAACATTCGCAGGACCTCTCCCCACTCTTTACCACTTCTTTATGCAACTGAACATCCTCCTGTGCGAGAAATACATCACCAACCTGGGCAATTTGAGAGCTACCTTTACCGAGCTCATCAACTGTATAGTCATGATTTCCGCAAAGTTAGGGCCTGTAAAGGGGTGCGGTCTGGAGCACAGCCTGAACAGCCTTTCCTGCCAACTGTTGGGCTCAGGATGGCGGAGAAGGACATCTAGGGAAAGCTTCAATGCACGCCATATGGCTAGGAGGTGTCATAACTTTGGATCGTCATAACTTGGAGTTTCTAGAGAATTGCCACAGTCCTCCGTTGCAATGACACCGTATGACTGTAATGATTTTTTGGTTATATTGGAAATCTTTACTCAATAGCTAAAGCAATTCCCGTTTCGAAAAGACAAAGAGGCCGGACATGCATTATTTCCCAAAAAGCAGTACATTGAAAAAAGCACTGGAACATTACTCCACTGTAGTAATATTTTTAGAAAAGAACTACGACTTCGTTGTTTGGTGCACCGGAATATCTCCTCAGAAAGACGTCAATGCCACCGAACAACAAGCTTTCAGTAGTCGCAAATCCACCTGTGACAACAAGACGTAAGTTAAGTTTCTTCGAACGTTATGAGATTTACTTTGATATTTTCATTGAGTCGCAAAGATTTCAAGGGTTTACAGTTGTACAGGACCAGGATCTCTGCGCGTTGCGCCCATCATCTACCTGAAGGGGAAAATGACCTTATCAATCCTGCCTCACAAATGATGAGTCCCGGCTTTCTCATATTCCTTAGAAACTTCGCACTCACAGCACTGCTCCTTCGCTCATTGATTCACAATGTTTTCGTTATCCTCGTTTTTGTTTTGATTTGTTTTGCTTTTCAAACTTTTCACTGTGCCATTTGCGATATTCAAATATTTTTCCGGGCGTCCTGTGCCACACCTCGGATGTGTTTCAAATTAATTAAATTTATTTATTTCACAGAATTGATAATATACAACTAGAGAGACAATCCCTCAACAGGTACTGCGAAAAGCCGCATGAAGTCTCAGTCCATTTCGCGACTTCCACGAGCCGTATTCGTCCCGATTCTTGCATTCATTTCTTCGTCTGCGTGCACATTCTCTTTTAACTGTGAGTAGATTAATCGCTGCCCAGTGCATCTGGAGATAGTTTGACGCTGACCGCCTAGGCCAACACAGTGGTACATTGTCTTCTTGAATATAGCGCCTTTTCCTCATCATTCTAAAAGGAGATAGATCCAGTGAGGAAGTATTCCATCCAGAGCCGTGCTCTTGAGATGGGTCTGACTGAAAATAAAATCCTGCACACATCACAGTCTTCCTCCCGAAATCGTCCTAAGTGTGCTTTAAGTGCTAATCCCAATATATTCCGAAAATGATTTTCACTCCGAAGTCTGACTTTTTCGATGGAACAATTGCTCGAAGTCACGTTTACATCACTTTTGGTATCTATTGCATTTTTAGAATTTCATCGTTCCATCTACTGGTTGGTTCACAATCGAAGGAAATACGGCTTTCGACATGTGTGCATGTTGCTCCTTGTACTCACGTACACTCTGCTTGGAGCGACTATGTTCTTCAGCATAGAAACAAACCATGAGCATAAGGTAAGCGACAGTTCTTTGCTTGTTTTTACTCCTCGAACAAATCTGGTGCCAATTTGCAGTCCCGGAGAGACGATCTTGTTGGCCTGGGCGGGAACCGATCCAGGATCTGACCCCGCACGCATGCCATCACGTGTTGAGCGTGTCACTTGCCACCCCATCACCTTCGCCTCAGGCTGGATTCATACTTTGCGGCAGCGTCCACCAGCGACCAGCAGCGTCCACCAGCGACCACTAGCGTTCCGAGCGTCCGGCAGCGTCAGCGACTAGGAAAGTATAGATATCGATCTAGCGTCTGCCAGCGTCCACCAGCGACCAGCAGCGTCTCGAGGGCTAGGGAAGTATAGGTATCGATCTAGCGATCAGCAGCGTCTACCAGCTTCCACCAACAGCTGGAATCCCATACTCTCTGTACCAGCAGGCTGCTACCCTCCTATTTCCCCCACTCTCCACTTTCGGACGGTGCTGATCGCTGGTAGATGCTACCGCAAATTATCAACGCATCCTCATTATTATAGAGTCTATACCAATCATTCTCATTCAGGGTACATCATCGTTGTGTGAAACACATGGAGGGAGGTCGTAATTGGCCGCTGGGGAGAGGGGGGAGGGGAGCATATTTGGTCGTTGTGGGAGGAGGGGATCGTACGTGGCTTTGAGAGAAAATTTGCCGCGTTGGGGTAGAAATTTCCCCGGTTGTTGACTTTTCGCAGTTTTTCCTGTTTTATATTTGCAGTATGCCCCCTAGTTGGTGGCGCCGCCAAGGTTCTGTATAATTAATATTCCCAATAGCTGAAAATAATAGTTGGTTCTGACGAGCTCCCCCTCCCCCCTCCCCCTCCTCACTCTCGACGGAAAATTTGGGGAAAAAGTAGCAATTTTTCGGGAAATTTCAAAGAAAACTGGTAGGAAACTGGGAACATGTAGGAAAGTTGTTGGTAGGTGTTGGGGAATGGGGAGAGGGGTCGTACCGAGACTCTCTTTCAGGACCGTACTGACACCACGCGTATTTGACAGCCTACCATTTCACACTCAGCGCGCTGTGCGTGTTTTCATTACAAGCAAAATGACGCAGGCAGCCGGCGGCAGTTTGTCGACGAGGGGGGGGGGCATTTTGACACTTTTAAATAGAAGAGTCGACGCTATCTAGAAAGCCTTTTCTTCGAGTTGACACGTTCCTGGAAGGGACTAGAAGCGATCTCTGCTGCCAGCTTCACAAGTGTTAACATAAGTTTTTACCAGAATGAGATTCGTAGAATCGCCGGAACTAGGGAACAGTGAATAAGTTACAAAATGCCCCCCCCCCGTCGACAAACAGCGCCCAGCAGGCCTGTCTCTATTGATTATGTCACTGGATATTACAAAATGTTCTTTTCAAGTTGGTTGCCGAACGTAAAATCGCTCTCGACAAAAACGTCGCCTTGATAGCCGAGCGGCTGATGTTGATACAGAACGGAAGTGATATTTTGGCCAACAATCAAGTGGCAAAAGAGTTCGTTAAGGTGGGTACCTGTGCTAGATAATTTTCCAGGTAGAAAGCTAATGTAAACAAAAATAGAATATTTTTAGTCCACCTATATCTCCCTACTGCAGCAGGAATCTTTGTATGAAGGCAGTACGTATTCCAAATCGTCCGACGAAGGGAATTTCAAATGGAGCTATGCTAGCGCGATATTCTTCTCGATGAATCTATACACCACGACTGGTTACGGTATGTGCGTTACGGTAGATACTGGGGATGAACCAACTCACAAGTTTTCCTTATTCCAGGTTCAATAGCCCCCGAATCGATGCTTGGTCGAATATGTGTAATGTGGTATTCTCTGATAACGATTCCCATCACATTGGTGGTGGATTTCGTGATCATCGGTCACGTGGACGGCCTTGTCTGGCTAACCCGAAACTGCTACGCCATGATACTGGTATAAGTTTAAGGTAAAAATTTGCATAAAATCTTAATTTGCTTCCCCATTGGAGACGGGGCACAAAGAGTCGTTAAATTACCCGTTCTTTGTCGCGCGTGGCAATGAGCGCGAACGGCTTGTTAGTTTTGGCAATACCTTCTCTAAAGGAGGCTTGGATTTTATGTAAACAACGGACATGGTTGCATAATGTATGTGCTTATTTTTGGTTATACAGTTGTCTATTCTCGACACTACACACGCTGAAATCCTCGTATTATTGGGTGCGAAAACGTCGCAACGCGACGGCCATGCGGCGACGATTACGATTCTCTTGGGCCACATCGCCGTTCAATTCGAGTGGAGGGCGAGGCAGATGATGCAGTGCTGAGTGGTGACAGGCAGGATGTAGGGGGCGCGCTAGTAGGCGTTTAATGGTGTGTATTTGGAGAAAAAGCCGTGCTCAGCGAGAACTACGCTGTCGAACAGCGCTTGGAAGTGTGTTATTGGAAGCGGTTGATTTCCCAGTGTGTACGGTTCATTCACCCAGATTGAAAGCACACCACACTTGTTAGCTGCATAGCACCGTCTCTGACACCACCTAATTGAGTACTGTTCAGCACTGACTCGAAATCTTGCTCCGCAGGAACCCTCCAAGGTGAACAGGGTACAGTGTGCAGCTCGTTCCACTCTCCAAAGGCCAAGTACGATTCCCTGTCGCGTATGGTGACTTAGGTCCCCTTCAATTACTTCTCTTATACCTGCCCTTCTAAGGTTGCCGTTAAGCGGACTACATGCATCTAAGCGTACGCGAATCCCTGGACGCTTGCTAGGGCATGTTTTTTTTGGTAAAAATTTTTCTAGGGTCTCCCAGGGGCCGAGCGCGCAATTATAAACGCCTCCCACTGTTTACACTCAAGGCATGTTTCTCCCATAAGACAGGGCCTACTTGTCAGATCGGCCTGTCAGGGTGGAAGTGACCAGCGCATTGCCGCTGACTCGGAACAGTCCTCATATTTCTCTTGTTTATTCCAGCTCTGTATTCTTCCAACTCCCTGACATATGGGAGACCAACAGCCAACGGCGCCTCAACGATGATGTGGGTGAGAAAGAAAAGGGAAAGCGGCGCGAATTCTGCTCACCACCCACAGCCCAGGCGGCTACACGGGCTTATGGGTAATTATTTGTGCATTCACAAGATTCAAGCCCTTGATTGGACGCGCAGTTGGTACTGTATAGCCCTGGGATCCTAATCTCATAAGGTAATATAATTGAGGGAGAGTGGAGGGGCAACAGGCACAGCGGCTAGAGGCAGGGAACTTTCCTCGAAGAAAGTGAGGCATACGACCCATGTTGATAAGGAGGTCAACGAAGGTGCCAGCTCTCCTTAATTGTAATATTTTAGCAGTCCTACTGCAGCGGTAGCGAACTTACCCGTAAGTGCGAGGTACGAGTTCGAGTCCCGCTGGTGGTCTGGATTTTGGCCATGGCTCAGCATTCTTGTGATAGACCTTTCCCAGTAGGTAATGAGGGGAGTGGTGCACCCCACGAGGAAGAAGTGGATAGGAGCGCAGAAAGCTCACGAAATAAGCCCCTTGCCTTTCAAATTCTATCGATTTTGTGAGGTGAACTATCATCCTGCCGACCTCAGTCGCGATGTGAAGCTAACATCGAGTTCTGTTCCTTTTAGGTCGAACGGAAGCAGCTGGCGCAAACACAGGTGGGCGGAGCGCAGTCTGTGGGCGGGGTCTCAGCCACGCAGGGCCTTTCTAAGTGGCTTCGAGCTGCACCTAACTGTGTTCAGATAGAGCTTCCATCAAGGCGTCAGGCGTGGACACCACAATGCACGCTGCAAATGACAGGATCTGTCTCTCCGGAGAGCTTTGTAAAGAAGACCTATTCTATCCAAAAAGTTCTTCAAGAATTCCACCTTCTGTGAGCACCGGTCAGACATGTCTTTCCACCCGCTTACATGAGCTGTGATCACTTGGAGATGGTCCGGGAGCATGCTTCAGGCTCCGAAGCGCTATGTT